GATGGGGCCCATCGGGAGGAAGAAGGACCTGCTGGCCTAAGTGCCAAGGAGCAGGGGCAACGGAAGTTAGGACCAGACTGAGCACAAGGCCCGGCGGGCACCACCTGCCCCCGGGGGCCGGTGTGGGGGTGAGGAGCGCGCCAGGGAGAAGCACTTGGCGTGTGGGGCCGCTCCCTGACCAGCAGGGAACTTTGCAGACCGCCTGCCTGGCCCTGGGTGGTGGGGACTGACATGTGAGCTGTGTGGGGTGTGGGTGCTCCTGCCTGGCGAGGCCCTGCCCGGGCACCTCCCACCGCTCCCCGCTGGGCACTGCACGGCGATGTCCTCCGGGCCTCTGTGCCCGAGGCGCGCGCTCCTGCCAGGCAGAGCGTGTTTCGCCCCACGTGCCCATGACCTCTTCTGTGTGGGACGGGGAGTGTGGTGTGTAGTGACCCGGAGAGGCTGCTACACACCCAAACCAGGGGCCACAGGAAGGGGCTGCAGGCCTGCCTGGAGCCACCGTCTCAGGCTCCATGCTCCGGGGGACTGTGTCAGCCTGTGCCCAGAGGACAGCCGGTCCCCGTGGAGACGGTCAAGTGCTTTCCATGGAGACCCACAGTAAGAGTAGTTCCAGCCGTGTGACCACAGGACTGAGACCCTGCGGTGCCGTTCAAGCGCTTTCCATCCAAGACCAGTGAGTGCTGGCCACAGCGCGGCTCACGCGCGCACACCAAGTGCGGACACGTGTTGTACGTGTGCCGATCGGAGCTCCTGTCCTGCGATGCCCTCCGGTGGTTCCTCTTCCTTTCGAGGCGCTGGTAGTTGCCGTGAACTGCTCTCACTACTCAGGGACGGGCCATTTTGAGAAGCGCTGAATGGCTGGTCCAGAGTCCATCACGGACACGGGGCTGGACCCTGAGCCGCCTTTGTCTTCAACTGAATGGCAGGTGTGGCGGTCACTCATGCCAGTTGTCGCCTCCGAGTGCAAATTCTGGAGCCAACGGGGGTCCCGCGGGAGCGGGGAGCGCTCTGGGAAGTGAAGGCCCCGCGGAAGCAGGACCGCAGCCCCGGGGCCATGTGTGGACCACGTGCCGCTCAGGCCGGGAGTCCACCACCAGGTGTCCACACCGCAGGCGCCTTCCGTGGTGTGGAGGCGCGGAGGACGCGGCCACCGGGGTCCCCTGACCCCTCTGGGCTCAGCAACGTCTACCCTCGCGGCTGGGGACTGAGCGAGGTGGGGTCCAGCCCAGTGCACCCCAACCCGCAGGGGGTCGCCTGCCCCTGGGGTCGGGGCGGCCCCCACTCCCCCGGCGACCCGCCTGCTCACCGCCACCTGTCACACGGAGCCGCGCTCTCCCACTCGGGCCCTCACTCCCACTCGCTCGTCCACACCGGCCCGCGCTCGCTCCGCCCGGCCCGCTGCGCCTCCGCCCACGTCCGCCCCCACACGCTGCCCGTCGCCCACATCCTCTCGCTCCAACGCCCCCTCTCGTCCACACCGGCCGCACGCCGCTTCCCTCGCGCCCCCTTCGCGGAGGGGAACTGAGGCCGCGCGAGGAGGAGGCGCAGGCGCCGGGACCCGGGGCGGGGGCACTACCCCGGCCGGCCGCCGCGGGGCTCACCTTCATGTCCCGGAGGCCGGCCGGACCACCCTCGCGCGCGGC